CTCATTTCCATGCTGGTTTTTGGCAGTTTTCTATCAGTTTCTTTCTCTCTCTGCAGTTCTCTTGCCTTTTTTCTCTCATCCTCCCCTTCCTTCTGCCTCCCTCCCTGTTTCCCATGATGTTTTTCCAGGCAGGCTGTCCCTGTGACTCGCAGCGTCTCGGCAGGGTTGGGATGAACGGATGGGGCTGCTCCGGTCGCTTCCCTTCGGAGCGTGGCAAGCGATGCCCAGTGCGCGTGTGACCTCCTGCCCTGGTGTCCCTGTCCCCTCCAACAGCGGTGCCCTGCTCGCCCTCGTCATCCTCACCCGCCAGACCTTGGCAGCCCGTCGCTTCGTGTACGTCTATTAAATACACGGTGCAACCACATCCGGAAAGCGGCAAAATTTGCCTTGTCCAGCTCCTACATTTTTCGGAAAAAAAAGGATTAAAAAAGCTGGGTTTTATTATTTTTTATTTTATTTTTTTTCCTCACAAGGAAGGAAAAATAAATAAATAAACTCCAAGCCACAGTTGGAAAAGCGGTTGCTAGCAGCATTGTGGCTGCGAGGCGGCCGGCCCTGCTTGCGCACGCGGCTGCCGGTGYGTGGTGTGGGKTTTTTTTTGTTTGTTTTTTTGTGGTGATTTTGTTAAAAATACGCAGCCCGTGGCCGCCCCTCGGGGGAGCGCCCGGGCCCGCTCCGCGCCGCTTGCTCACAATGCTCCGCGCCGGGAACTTGGCTTCCGCCGTTTCCTGTTATTTGAACGGCTCTGTCAGGCACAGGGCTTGGTGCAGGGTGGGTTTTTTTGTCTTCTTTTTCCTGATTCGGTGGGTGTGCACGTACRTGTGTGTGCACAGAAACCCAGGCGGGTAGCTTGGACACTCCATGCCTGTATTTTGGACATTTTTTGCCTAAACAGGGTGAAAAATGGGGCTTTTTTTTCCCCTGATAGCAGTGGCTCTGCCTCCTCGGAGCGCCCGGTCCCGTGGCGCCGGATTGACCACGTTGTCCCAGGGCTGCTGAGCAAACCCACCCTATYCCAAGCAGTGTCCTGGTTCCTGACGCGTCCCCCATGCTCCCAGCTCGGTTTGTTATTCTGCGGATCGCCCTTCCGAACGAATCCGCGGGAGATTGATGGGGAAAAGCTCGTTATGCACTTCCYGAGCCGCTTCCCCATAATTTGGTAGCGGCAAAATGCACCATTAAAGGCAGAGAGCCCTGGGAATGATGGGCCGTAATTAGTTGTTGCTATAATATTTTTGATGGAATGTGTGTGGATACCACGAGTAGTTCTTTGGGAAGTCGGTCAAGGCGAGCGGCGCTTATGGAGTGGGAAGGGGCGATCCCGTTCTCCCAGCCTGGCYGCCTCTCCATTAAAGCGCCTGGCGCTTGCGGGAGGGCTTTGAGGGGAGCAAAGGGACCAGCCTGCCCTCCCTTCCAATTAGGAAGGAAAACCCGGAGGAGATTTCTCTGGAATAAAAGGCTTTTTRGGGGGCGGATGGGCGCTGTCGCTGGCCGTCTCCGTGCCGTGGAGCTGCGCGTTGGCTTTGCTCCTGCTTTTCTCATTCCCGAGCAGTGCAGAGCCCAGGATGGAGCAGAGCTGCACCCACGGGTGCCCCTGGGGCTTTTTGCACCTGCATTAAGGGGTTCTGCATCCTTGCACTGCGGAGGGAGGGAGGGAACGTGCAGGTCCTGGCAATGGGGGCCGTGGCGCAAACTCTTGCGGTCCCGATGGCCTCGGGACGGCAGAGCTGGGACGTGATTTCAGTGGATGCTGCAAGGGCTGGTGCTAAATAATAGAGCCTCTTGGCGTTTGTTTCTTGCATTGTTCCCTCTTCCTTATAGTGCTGCCAAAGTCGGAGTGAAGCTTCCCGAGCTGTGTGGCCGCTGTGGGCTGTTTTTGCTACAACTCTCAGGAGAGAAACAGGGTGGCGGAGGGGAAAGTTGGCTGTTTCTGAGCACGAAACATGGGGGAAAGGTGGTGCTTTCCTTCTGGAAAATGAAATCCTGGAGTCTTCTGCCTTTCGAAGGGACAGAGACTGCTCAGGGGCTTCAGTGTGTCTCTTGGCGTGGGCCTGAGGCCCGTTCTGCTCTTGTGGCCTCCTAGGAATGAGAGCTGCTGCTTGGGCAAGGGACTGCATCTGAGCTGCCCCTTGGAAAAAGGCAGAGGAGGATTTTCACAGCCTCCCTGAGCAGAGCACTTGCTGTTACCTCCTCACCCGTTACCTTACCTGAGTTTAGGGGCGGTTGGTCTCTTGCCAGACTTCCAGGCGCGTTTGCGTTCTCCCTGCCCGCTCCTCGCAGGCCGGCCGTCGATCGCGGTGCGCTGGACCTGCTCACACTGGACCTGCTCGCGCTGTGTCGCTCTCGGCATCGTGCTGCGCTGGAGGGGTCTCAAACGTGGCTTTTTGGGCAGGAGCTGTCAAGAAATGAGCTTAGCTCCGCTTCCTGGCAGTGCACGAGGGTTTTCCATGGAAGAATCTTATACCTTGTTGGGAAGAGCCRTCAACAAGATGGCATTAGATGATGGAAACGAGAAGTTCAGCTCTGTTGTATCTTGTGCTGCTCTGCTCAGCCCTGGCCCCTCAATATTTGTGCTCCGAGTTCACAGAATGCTCAAGGTTGGGAGGGACCTCTAGAGACCGTCTAGTCCAAGTCTAGGACGATCTAGATCGTCCTTTGGCCCCATGATTTGAGACTTGCCGCTTGCTCCTACGAGATGCCACTTACCCCAGCCCAGACATCAACTCCTTGTTGGGCCTGGGGTCATCTCCGTGTCGGGCATGGGGTGCCTCCCGTGTCCCCCATGAAGGAAGGCGTGGGCAGCCCCTTGGGCCCGGCCTCGCAGCAGCTCCTCCCCGCGCACCTCGAGTGCGGAGCAGTGGAGCCGCGCCGCAGATGGGCGCTCGGCGCCGCGGAGCGCGTGTGCTCCTGCATCCTAATTGCTGGCATCTTTACTTGTTACCAGTGTAATTGTGAGTAGACGTTTGTTTTTGTATTGATAATTAGGGAGTGGAGCAGATGGCGGAGGCTTCGTTGGAAGTAATGTGTCCATTAAAGAAAATCTACTGTGTGCAGCTGAAGATTCCCCGCTCGAGCGGCGCCTTGCGTGCCCTCGCCGGGCGCCGCGGCCCTGCTCTCCCCGAGGCCTCGTGAAGGATGCGGGGTCGCTCTCCTCGCTCCTTCCCCTGCCCGTGATGGAGGCCCTCGCCTCTGTGGCACCAGGGCATGCGCTGGGGCCTTGATTACCTGTAACCTGCAGGAGATCCCGTGGGTGGCCCCTTGGTGCTGGAGCTCCCAGCAGGGTCTGTCCTGCGTGGGCACCTCGGGTGGGCACCTCGGCCCGGGCAGGGCCMAGCAGGAGGCCGAGTGCCCGCTGGGACAGGGGAAGGGGCTCCGCGGTCAGATCCCCCCGCGCCTTGGAGGCGCAAGCGCTGGATGAGGAGGGAAGGGAGGCAGGCGYGCCGTGAAGGCTCTGCAATGTCCGTGCCTGCTGAGCCCTGTCTCGCTAAGCCGAGGCTCAGGGTTAGCCAGCAAAGGTGTGGAGGCATCATGCTCACCGTGAGGCACGTCTTGCCTCGCCTGGCAAACCGTATTGTGCAGATATGGGCAGAGGGAGGTGTCTCGATTACCAGAGAAACGCAGCGGTGTYGTTCAAGGGCTGCACCTCGCCCAAGGGGGTTGTCCTGTTGCTACAGAGCCTCCACAGGACGTGGGACACGAGTTGCACGGACCTGACTGCCGGTGTGTGGGATGTGAGGAGGTGACGTGGCCCGTGGCTCAGCCCTGCGCTGGTGTCTCTCCGTGACCTGGCAGCCAGCGCCGCTGAGGCCCGGGATGGCTCCTCCTGAGGGCACGTCGCGGTGGTGTGGTGGGGCAGAGCTTGCTTGCAGGTCAGCGCTTGGGGTTCCTCYAGCGAGCGACCCAGAGGGGACTCGGTGTTCAGCTCTGTTTCGGTGTCAGTGACACAATCRATGGATGTCTTAGGTGTAATGGATGGTGTCCTACGTGAGGGCTTCTCCTGAGGGGCCTTAACGTGCCTCTGTTTCTCCTTCTCTTCCCTGGCTTCCTGAGGGCCACGGGGGCAGAGCAGGGCATGGGTTTGTCCAGCCAGGCACCCAGCAGCTCTCTGGCCTCAGGTGATCGTGAGCAAGAAGGCCCATGTTTCCACGGACCTTCGGCACGTATTGCAACCTCGGGGGAGCCCGAGGAGGAGCAGAGGTGCTCAGGGGCTTTGTGGGCAGCTCTCGTGACTGTGCTCCTGGTGGGCTTGGTGGAAAGGGAGCGCAGCGCCCACGGCTTCGCGTCCGCCAAGCCCCGGTGTGCGTGAGCCGCGCTGGCTGTGCCATCGCTTCCCTCTCACAAAGAAAGGTCTGGGGCCACGGGAGGAGAGAATGGGAGGAAAAGGGCACATTGGGGCCGTGGGAGGGGAGGAGCTGCCTGGCTGGCCCCACTCTCCGCAGGCTGCCCTGGCTGCCCCGACCCGCGGGGCTCCAGGTGCAAACTATTGTTCCTTGGCCTTGCATTTGCAGAGCCGAGCCGGAGGGCTGGGAAAAGGCTGCCCTTCCTGTGCCCCCTGGCCGGCGTTTGGCAGAGCTGGCACGGGGACCCGGGTGCATCTCGGCACCCTCCCCACGAGGGTTTTAGTGCCGGGTGCTGGAGCCCCTTGGTGCTCGCGGGAGTGGGGAATGCTCCATGGGAGCGTTTGGCAGGAGGGGCAGGGTGGAGGCTGCCCCGGTCATGTGCGCTTCCCGTCCCTGTGGCGACGTCCATGGGAGTCGCTTGCTTCCTGCTTGCTGGAAGTGTTCCCGGGAAAATGAGGAGCTGCTGCCCATCCTCCTGCCTGCCTGGGTGGGATGAGGGGATATGGGCTGGTGGATCTGCTGCAAACAAATGAACCTTGGAGGGCTTTTTCCCATCTGCTTCTCTGTGTCGTCATCCTCACTGTTCTTCTTGCTGTGGCGCTCGTTCGTTCCCGCCATGCCCGTGTGTCCCGAACCTCGCTGACAGCCTCTGGAGTCGCTCACTTGTTTCTGCTCTCTTGTGTGTCCCCAGAAACCTTGATGGATACCCGGACGGCGACGGCGGAGCTGGGCTGGACGGCGAACCCGCCTTCGGGGGTAAGTGGGGGCCGTGGAGATGTCGCCCACCTCGGCCTTGGCAGGACCTTGCAGTTCCTCAGTGCTGCTGCGTTGCTCAGCATTGCTCACGGCGCTTTGGGGAGCGCGGTGGTGATGCCCATGGTGATGCCCATGGGCGCCTCCGCGCAAGCAGAGCAGGGATTCCCACGAGCTGCCAGCYGGCACAGGAGGCAGCTGCTTGTGTAGGGATGTGCAGCCCTCCCTCTGGAATAAYGGTGCAGATACTGCTCCAACTGTCCTCAGCCCTGGGAAAACCTTCATTGGGTACCATTTTGGTATCCAGCAATGACTCTAGTGAGAGCAACTTTGACCTCCTTTGCTACTGAGGTGTTCTGGGATATCTGTGTCCTTCAAGGGACCAAGTTTAACAAGTCTTGCATGGTAGCGGAGACAAAAGGGTCTTAATGGGGACAGGAGAGAGGGAGGTTGTCCCTTCCATTTTCCCTTGCAAAGAACCTTTCAAGTGTCAGTGAATGAGATCCAAGGGAGAGTATGAAGCGTAGCTGCTCCCAGCTAGCTGCCTGCCTCCCCAGCAGTTCGATCCCAGCCTAGCAGCACTGCACGAGGGAAGAAACACCGAGGAAACCCTTCTTCAAAAGCACATCTTCCATTTGGTTTTGATGCTGTGTAGATCCTTAGAGCAGAGATGTGGAAAAGCCACTGCTTTCTGAGAGTGTGTGAGAGAAGTCCMGCCCAGGTCCAGTTAGGAAGCATCTCCTGCTCTGAACCATGGACTTATTGTTTCCAAGGCATGAGGGAATGTAGCCTTCCAACACCTTGGGGCTTAAAGATGGAGGCACCAAAACCTCTTGGGAACCTCTTGGCCAACACGCCTCAACCCAAGTGTTGAAGAGGCCAGATGTGGTGCTAGCTGCTCCTTGCATCTTGCTGTTTGGATTGGTGACAGTTGTCTTGTGCAGGCAGGGGACGTCCCCGTGGCACATGCATCTGCCTGCGTGCTCCATCCCAACACAGGACTGTGCTTCTCCCAGCTCACCTGTGATGTGCCGTGGTGTCTGGAGAAGACAGAGCTTCCTTCCGTGCAGACAGGTCCCTGCACGCGCTGCTCTCCTTGYGCTTCGCCTTCCAGGGAGAGCGTTCAGCGAAATCACCGTCTCCATCCTCGCGCTCGTGCGTTCGCTCTCTTTCTGTACCAAAAGGCTTGTAATTAGGAGACATTAGCAGGCTCAAAACAGCTTTCATACCTGGAACATCATCCATAATTGCACTCAGCAGTGCTCTTCCCTGGCTATTAATGTCACTTTTATGAAGTAATGAGGAACAAAACACCCTGAGGCACTTAAAACATCTTTTTTATATAATACGAGTCTTTGAGGAATGGAAGCATAAAATAACCTGACTCACATTCCCCTGACAGAGAAAGTGATAGACAAAGACAGTAGCAGACGGGGGAGAAGATCAGTTGGAAAGGCGGGCGCGAGCTTAATAGATGGGCTTAACAGCTTGATAGGTAGTAGGTTGGGTAGCRATGGATGCAACAGCGGGGTGACGCTCAGGTGGGCCAGTGGTGGGTTCGAGAGGCTCTGTTAAATCAGCAGAACTAAAGAGGTGGATAAATGTCATGGAGAAAACTCTAATAGAGTTTCTTTAGTTATGTGTGGTGTCTTGGTAGGCCCTTTCAGTGTGGAGGGTTCAGCCCTGAGGCCTCAAGTATGTGGAACCAGTTGAGAAGGTGTAGGAGACAGCCCTCCTTAGGGCTCGCCTGGCTTTTGGCAGGTCTTCTTGAAAGCAGTTCCACAGAGTTACTGAAACTACATGGCATAGCTTTAAAAAATACGCAGTGCGATGGGTACGCAGCAGGCACGAGATCCTGTCCCTCAGTGGAAGGGGCCTTTGAAACGTGGGGTTTCACAAGGGCTTTTGAAAGCTCTGTGCTGGGCAGGCTGTACCCAGGTGATGGACAAGGCTCTGCATGCCCTGAGTTCAGCCCTTCCTGGTCTCTTGTGATGGCCTGAGCCACTCCATATGTCAGGGGATAGTCTAGCACTTAAGAGCAGCTCCTGCTCCAGGTTGGAGCTCGCTGGTTTGTGTTTGTTGCTGACGTAATTAAAATAAAATACATAGTGCTTCCTCTGTCCCTGCACTGAGACAAACTTCTGTTTTAACTGAACAGAAATYTATCTTGAGGAAGCTCTCAAGAGCGGTGTTACATGGAGCAGGGCCTGCTGAGGTCTCTAGGTCCAGGATGCTTCAGAGATGGGCAGATAGCGACGGCTGATAGGACCTTGCCACCAGCAGCGGGTGACGAGAAGACCTGGGCGGTCACAGTGAGGTGCTGCGTAGCCCCCAGCCAAGGGGAGGTGAGGCCCAGGGAGGCCACAGAGGCAGGAGTTGACAGATAAGGAGCCAGATGGATGGGTGCACTGGTAGATGCTCTAGCAATAAGAGGGCCTGTGGGCTCCTGGCTGCATCAGGAGGATGTTGCCAGCAGGTCAAGGGAGGGGATCCTGCCCCTCTGCTCAGCTCTGGTGCGGCTGCACCTGGAGTATTGGGGGCAGTTCTGGGCTCCCCAGGACAAGAAGCTCCTGTGGAGCTTCTCGAGAGGGTCCAGTGGAGAGCAACAAAGATGATTAAGGGACTAGAGCATCTATAGGTATGAAGAGAGACTGAGTGAGCTGGACCTGTTTAGCCTGGAGAAGAGAAGGCTGAGAGGGGATTTTATCAACATGTACAAGTACCTGAGGGGAGAATGTAGGGAAGAGGGGGCCAAACTCTTCTCAGTGGTGGCCAATGACAGGACCCAGGGCAGTGGGTGTAAGTTGAAACACAGGAAGTTCCATCTCCACGTGAGGAGGAGCTTCTTCACTGTGAGGGTGMCAGAGCCCTGGCACAGGCTGTCCAGGGAGGTTATGGAGTCTTCTGCTCTGGAGGTCTCCAAAGCCCGCGTAGATACGACCTCTGCCCTGTGCTCTGGGTGTCCCTGCTGGAGCAGGGGGCTGGACTAGATGATGTTTAGAGGTCCCTTCCAAACTCARCCGTTCTGTGATAAGAAATTAGTAAAAAGGGGAAACAGAGTCAACGAAGGGAGGGAGAAGAGCAGCCTAGTGCGTAGGCAAAGGTGATGGCAACCACTGGATCATGCGAGGATGCCAAATTAGTCCCTCGCAGCCCAGGGTGGCGAGAGGACGAGCTTGGCCGTGGGGACGAGCCTGCCCGTCCTCTTCGCTGGCTCGGTAAACATCACGTAACAACAAGGCCAACCTTGAGCTGTGCTCTTTGCTTTAGCTTATGAGAGCTCAACAGCTAGACCCGGGAGCAAATATTGTGACTCATTTGCTGGCAGTGAGTACTGCGAGAGCATCRCCTTTTGGAGGGGAAAAAAAAAATAAAAAAAGGCATTTTTGGTTGTATTTACCTCAGTGCTGCAGTTCACAAGAGGGAAGCTCAAGGAGCAGGTGGTGTTTGGAGGGGAATGGAGGAGGCCCAAGGTTGCAGCGTTGGGTGGGTGTCCTCCCCGTCTGTGCCCCAGTGGAGGGGGTGCCGATGTGCGCGAGCGTCGCCGTAGTGTCACACCTGGAAATTATGCACGATATTCACAGCGCTGCTTAAAGCCTTGCCATGTGAATAACGCTGTTATGAGGAGACTGTAAACATGGATTAGTTGAAATGAATGGATTATGAGGTTGTAAATCTGTCGGTGGGACTCTAATGCCATCGTAGACTATTCACAGTTTGCTGCTGTCCCTTAATTGAAATTGTAGCCAAGATTGTATTAATGCACTTCTATAAATCGAATTGCAAATCTATTCTCTCCCCTGCAGCTGCAGTGTGGCTTTGGTTTTGGTTGATTTTTATTTTATTTAATTTCTTTGCTCACAGAAGTGAGACTGCCCTTCCTCGCACCTGGGGTCCCTTAGGTCCTGCAGCGATGACTTGGTCTTTGTAGAGACACAGTCTTCTGTCACAGCCCCCTGGTGTCTTGGGCCTCCATGGGCCRTGCATGTTCCCTCTGCCTCCCTCTCACAGCCACTTTCTGCTCCTTTCTTCAGTGGGAAGAGGTCAGCGGCTACGACGAAAACCTGAACACCATCCGCACGTACCAGGTGTGCAATGTCTTCGAGCCCAACCAGAACAACTGGCTCCTCACCACGTTCATCAACCGGCGCGGCGCGCACCGCATCTACACAGAAATGCGCTTCACCGTGCGGGACTGCAGCAGCCTCCCCAACGTGCCCGGCTCCTGCAAGGAGACCTTCAACCTCTACTACTACGAGACGGACTCGGTCATTGCCACCAAGAAGTCRGCCTTCTGGACGGAGGCACCCTACCTCAAAGTGGACACCATTGCTGCCGACGAGAGCTTCTCACAGGTGGACTTTGGGGGCCGGTTGATGAAGGTGAACACAGAAGTGAGAAGTTTTGGGCCCCTGACCCGCAATGGCTTTTACCTGGCTTTCCAGGACTACGGGGCTTGTATGTCTCTCTTGTCAGTCAGAGTCTTCTTCAAGAAGTGCCCTAGCGTGGTGCAGAACTTTGCCATCTTCCCAGAGACTATGACGGGTGCGGAAAGCACCTCGCTGGTGACTGCGCGGGGCACCTGCATCCCCAACGCCGAGGAAGTGGATGTGCCCATTAAGCTGTACTGCAACGGCGATGGGGAATGGATGGTGCCCATCGGCCGCTGCACTTGTAAGGCCGGCTACGAGCCGGAGAACAACGTGGCTTGCAAAGGTAAGGTGCTTYTACTGGTGTCTAAGGAACTGTGGATCTCTGTGAGGTTTTTATGGAGCATGTATGTGTAGGCTGTGTGTTGGTGCTGGGAATGCTTGCCTGGAAGATGCCGGTGAGCAAGGAGGCCTTGGAGGAAAGGCGTTGATGGGATGTGGTGTGTAGGGGCATCCAGTAAACAGAGTTTGTGGGTGTGTAAATAGGGCTGCTGTGAACACGAGTCCTAAAGGGCTGACTCCAATGCTTGGTGCTTCTTTGGARGTGTTAGGTGGCTGATGAGTGCAGGCAGCCCGTGCCTTCCTCGTCATGGAAGGGCATGGAGCAGCGTTGCTCTGTATGTGCTGGGGTTCTATGGAGGTGCTTGTCCCTATGCCACCATCTGGGAGCCTGGGATGGACCAGTACAGCTAAATGTGAGGGCTGTGAGGAATTGGTCTGGAAGGTGCCCTGTGCTGGGAGGTGTGTCCTGGCCGAGCCGCTTGCGTCCTGCTGGTCATYCCTGAGCGGAGCCTTGGGAGCTGGGCACCCCTGGTTCTTCTGCAAGCTGTTTTGGATGGTGTAAATACTGAGCGTGCAGCATGGAGCCAAGGGAAGGGTGGAGAGAAGAGCTCCACAGGCTGCTGTCCACTTGCTTGGAAAAAGGGTAGGGTCCTGCTGCTGGAAACAATGATGGGACATTGCAAGGCACATGGCTTTGTGCCTCACCTGSTCCTGCACCACGACATGGGAGGATAAATCTGAGGGTGGGGCCCATGGTTGTAACTCCTTACGGGTGCTGTGCAGCAGAATTGTACCAGAGCCCTTGAATTTTTCCTCATTTCTTTTTTCTTTTCAAGCTGCACATTTGACGCAAAGTAAAACCTTACTTGCAATGTGTTATCCTCTTGTGGGGAACTGAAGGAAAAGCCCTTTTTTTTTTTTTTTTGAGGAAGGTCTCTTAACCAGAATGTTTTTGCGAGACCTTTTCTCTCTGACTCAGCAAACGAGAAACTCGCATGCTCTTATGGCAAAGTGACATTTTTTCCCCTTTTGTACAAAAATAAATACTAATTTTTGCTAGAAATTAGAATTGAAAAATTAATGCTGTTGTGCTAGAAGTTCATAATAACGTCAACAAGGTAAAGCTGCCTTAGGTTTTGTTGTCTTTGATCCTCTGGGGCTGTGGAAGGTGTTCTGAGCAGGTGTCCTCTGGAGAGGAATCGTTGGGATTTGTGTTTGGATGGCTGGGGAATTAACTGTGAGTGAAAGCTGGACCTTGGGTTGGACTCTGGCACCTGTGTAGCTTAAGTGCCCCTGTTGGCTGTGAACTTGGGTTTGACCTTGCCAAAGCAGGGCTGGGAAGACAGCAAAGGCGCCTTGTGAGCTTGGGCAGTGCCAGGAGGGTCTGGGCTGGAGGCTTTGGGAGAGGAGGGCACTGCTGGGGCTCCTTGGCCACYGGAGAGGTGGAGCTGCCGGCACCCTGAGCCAACAGGGCTTGGGGTCACTTTGTGCTGGCGGTTATTATTGCAGGCGCAATGAATAATTCATGGGGTGCAGCAGCCCGTGCTGCGCTCGGGTTCATATTAAATCCATTCGTCTTGTTGTGCCCTGGCTCAGGGCCTGGSTTTGTGGCTTGGGCAAGGTGCGGTGGGTCACTGAGCCACAGGAGGAGACGTGGGGACAGGTAGGGTGAAGGACGAGGCACCTGGGGACTGGCTAGATCCTCGTTCCCCCTTGAGCAAGACAATTAAATGTGCTCTATTCTGCTGGCGTTTGACTCTAAAACCTACTGATGACAAGCTAGCGCCTCGGGCGGCGCGCTGGGCTCTGAGCTGAGGCCTTTTTGACTCTGAGCAGCTTGAAGACTCTCTTAGTGCCTCCTGACGAGGTAAAGCCACGGAGGAACGCGGGTGTTTCATGGCACGGAGCAGACTGCAGGCCCAGGAGGCAGGCTCGGCGTGAGAGCAGCGGCGCCAGGGCAGCCTTTGAGGCGGCTGTGTAGATCTGGCAGAGATTTCAGGGTTTGGGTGGGTCTCTTGAACGTTTTTCTCCGCCCCACCTTGCCTGGCACCGTGGGCCTTGGTGTGAGGGGCCGGAGGAACGAGGCATTCCTGCCTAGGCCGCGACTTGTCCTTCCCCTTCCGTGCCACAGCCCTGCTGCTAATTATTGATTTCCTCTATTTATAAACCCCTGGGGGCTGAGAACAATAGAAAACAATAGCAGAAGATTTATAAAGTGCCCTTTTTTTCTTTTGTTTTAAATAATTAGGAACGTTCTGTAATTATCAGGCGCCTAATTTGCTGACGTTTAAGAAAAAGAAAAATGAGGGAAACGTTGCAGTTTSCCCCGAAACGTGGTGAGTGCTGCAGCATGTTGGGCTTCCCCGCTGCCCATCCGCCAGCTGCTCCGTGCATCCCGCGGCATTCCCGATGTGGTCCTAGGGGTGACGGCCTTTGCCAGGAGCCCTTCGGGGAAGCCTGACTGCTTTCTCCTGGGGMGAGATCAGCCCCTTGATCCTGTCCCTAACCGGGGCCTTCGTGAGGCGCAGGGACCTATCGGAGCTGCGTCGCTGCCCCTTGACCACACGCCGTGACGTCGGCGYCAACCACGTCTTGCGGACACCCCCAGAACGTCACCATGGGGATTTGATGGTGCCATGTGGGGAATATCGCCCCATGGACACGCTGGATCCCCTGGGTGGATGAGAAGTCCTTGTTGCCGTGGTTCCCCACGCGCTTCCAGGCCTCCCGCGGYGCTGGCGCGCCCGCCCGCTGGCCACCCCTTGACGCTGGAAGATGGCGGCTCCCCCACGCGCCCGGAGGAGCTTGGTGCCCGTCCGGACCGCCCTTGTGCCGCGGCGGCTTCTCACGATCCTTCCTGTTGCCGCCACTGGGTGGAACAGGCAGCCCAGGTTTCCCGACGGCCCTGCCTCCGTCGGAAGCCCCGCGCTTCTAGAATGAAAGGAAGGAGAAAGGAAAAGGTGTAATTTGTCTTAAATTATGCATTAATGAAGACATCCATTAACACCCATAACAATTTCACAAGGAAAATGTCCAGGAAAACCTTATTAATATATTTTTTTAGTGAGTGAGGTGGTTTATAATGGAAGTCTTAATTAGACATTATTAGCAAAGATGTTCCTCTAGTGGATTTGGGCCCTTTCTGTCCATGTGCAGACCTTGGAAACTCTGTGTGCTCCCTGCTGGCCTGTGTCACCTCCTGACTGTGATCACCTCCTGGCAAGGGCCACCTCGCTTGCAGCACCTTCTGCCCAGGCTCTGCCCTGCTCAGGTGCTTGGAGGGTTTCATGAGGGCTTCCTGAGGCCAGTCGGGTGGTGAAGCAGAGCAGCACCATCGTGATCAAGCCCCCTTTGAAGGAGAAGGGAAGGAAAAACAAGTCAGGTGAGGTGGAGACATGGGGAGGATGCATTCTCCAGCYGGAAGACCCAACCTGAGTCACTGTGGTCTTGATCATTGCGCTTGAGAGCCTAGGCAAGGTTTAGAGGTGTCCGCAGGAGACACAAGGAAGGTGGTGAGAAGGAGGCTTGGGACCTCCTCCTTGTGAAGAAGCACTTGAGACCTCTTWATGGTGGGGCTGGTTGAGAAAGGAGGAAACCAGTGTTCATCAGWGCTGCTCCATGACTTGGAGAAGCCTAGATCCAGAGAGTGGCCTCCTTGGGGGCCGTGAGCAAGGACCACTTGCTGCCCTGGCCCATCTCCCTGTTGGGCCGCCTCCATGGAATAGCAACTGCTCACACCAGGCTGCTGTTTTGCTGGCGTCAGAGGGATTGCCAAGCCAACTGTCGAGCCATAACATACGGTTTTGTTTTTCTGCTTRTGTTTTATCTCCTCCAAGAACACCATGGGCCATTTATTTATCCCCCCCTTTATAATGAGAGCTCTTGAATGTTATATTGATTCTAGCCTTAAAAGAAGAAGAAAAAGCCCGCATTGATTTTTTTTTCAAGCTTCCCCCCCCCCCCTTTTTTCTTTTTATGAGCTTATTTACAAATGGGGGAATAAATCTGCTTCAGGACTGTTGACTTTGTTCTACCCTGTTAATGGTCAACCTAAGAAACTTTGTGCAGTAGCTTAAGTGTTTGGGCAAATGAGTCGTTTCTGATGGCGGTGACCAGGAGCGATCTGTCCTGGGAGCAAAACGTCCTTCTGTGACTTGGATGTGTGGGTGCTACTTGTATTTGGACTTTGTTTAGAATATCAATAGTGATATTTTAATATGTTTTTTCAGTACGTGCAGCTTCCCTAAGTGGAGAGTTTGTATGGTGTGGCACTATCAAGGCTCAGCAATTTTTGAAATTCAGGATCCTTTGCACAGATCTGTACGTTGTGTCACGATGAGCCAGGTCCCTGGAGAAAGAGCCACTTGAAGTGGCCGTTTTTCATTCCCAGTGGTTTTTGCCTCTGAGGATTATGCGCCAAGAGCACGGACGCGACGATTAAATCAAAGCGTCCGTCATGCACTGAGTGCTCCTCAGGAGGAGGAGGCAAAGCCCATGGTGAGGATATGGAGTCCTGTGTGACTCTTCCCRGATGGAGGCGGCTGGATGCATTAGTGGGAGACAGGGAAGTAGATTTGGCTGGATCCAGTTGCCTGCTCTGAAAGATCCTCTGAGTGCTAATGGAGGAGCTTCCTGGTAGCATTGCCCAACTTCCTCATTATCCTGGTTATAAAATGAAGTCAGCAAGGTGGAGGGTTGGCCAGCAGCTCAGTGGGGAAAGGTGCCTGGAAGCAAGAGATTTTGCCAGGAATGTTTCTCCTCACTGGCAGGAAATTCTGGTGCAGTAGCTTGGTTCTCTGTCAAGGCCATCACACTGCAGCCTCTCCTCGTCCTCAAAACTCTTTTGAAGGATGAGGTGAGGGGGCAAAAAGGCYGAGGAGATGAGTTGTTCTAACTTAGTTATTCAAGATATCAACCTAGATATTCAAGATATTCAACCTAGAGCAATTTCCTGGGGTGGAGGCAGCCCTGCTGCTTATGCAGCCAGGGTAGTGAACATGGTGG